TTCCCCTTCCCCTTCCCCTTTCCCCTTTCCCCTTTCCCCTTCCCTTCCCTTCCCTTCCTTTCCCCTCCCCTCCCCTCCCCTTCCCTTCCTTTAGCTCACAGCCATTTCTCTGATTTCTAGGGTATTTTCAGGCACTTTGGACCTTATCCTCTCCTACTAGAAATGAATCTTAAAGCGCGTTAATTAAAATCAACCTCCTAGTCAGACACAAAAGTTCACCAAACAATTCTAAGTCATTTCCTTACCTTCACAAGTCTTTCCATCCGCCCTCAGAACACGCCCGACTCCACATTCACAGCGATAGGAGTTCTTTAGGTTTATACAGAATTCGCTGCAGCCTCCGTTATTCCTTTCGCATTCATTTTCATCTACAGGGAAACATGGGTGAGAGATCTCCAACTTAGCAGCAATGCTAAAAGCAGCTAAGAGCTGGAGTGCAGAACATGTGTGCTAGGGGCAAGGTGTGGTAATCCTACTTTTTGGAGTACTGCAGCTCATTGGTTTGAAAGACCTGTATTTGTTGGGTGGAGTTTTGTCAGCATTCTTGATGGTTGATTCATAAAAGTTAGATGTCCTTGGCTTGTGCGTGTAGCTTTGTCCCCCCCCCACAACAGTACAAAACCCAGTGACTCCATTTGTGTTAAGCCCTGCAAGGTTGGCAAGTTCAGGAAACCAGAACCACTTGGATTTCTGAGATCTTTCTTGCTAGATCTTGCTTGAAAGCCTCTCAAAGCAATTCTCCTGCCCAACCTATACTGAGAGCAATGTAGGTGGAGTTACGCTGAGTCTCTTCTCATGTTTACCCCCTCCCCTAGACTCTGTAATGGGCCCTGTTTTCTCCTGTAACTGTCCTGCTGCTTCCCCTGTGTTCCCAAGGTCTGTTGGCATTTCATCACAATCTGTGTGACTTGACATGAGAAATCAATTTCTCTTTAAGAAGCATCGACTAAGCCAATGTTTCTCAACCTTAGCAAGTTTAAGATGGGTGGACTTCAACTCTTAGAATTCCCCAACTGGTTGGGGAATTATGGGAGTTGAAGTCTACCCATCTTAAACCTGCCAAGGTTGAAAAACACTGGACTCAGCAGTATCTACTTCCTCCAATATGAAATATGTTTTTCAACTTTCTGGCAGTTACAATCCTTGCATTTCCTATAGCCTCCTATCTAAATAATAACCAGGTCAAGATCAGCTAAACTTGGCCAACTGCTGCCATGGAATACATTAATAAATAGGATAGCCAAGAATATGATGATCAGAATGTATAAAGGTCACAATCCCAACAGCAATAATTTATTTCAGTTAAAGTTCATACTATAAAGAAAAAGAAAAATATAAAAAAGTAAGATTAGAAACAACAAAGAGAAGAAGAAGAACATCATCCATCAGGATCCAGTACTGTTGACTAGGCTGGTTTTAATTAGATGTGACACAACACAACAGCAATAGACAGATTTTTTTAGCTCTCTACTAGTCTCGGGCACTAGTCTGAAAACAAAATCTTTCTCTATTCTATTGGGTGTATTAATTTACAAGGGGCATTAAAAGGTCAAAGAGTAGAATCTTATGTAAAGGGCAAAAGAGAAGCACAAGGGTGATACCAGTACATTTTCCTAGTGCTGGGCACTGAGAATATTGCTATGTGCAATATATAATGTTCTGTCTTGCTATAAACCAACAACCCAAATCTCCAGGATTTGCTTGGTAAGCTTATGAGATTTTTCCTATTCTTTGTTTTCTTTAAAAACCAATTACATTTTATTGAATGTTAGAGTCCTGCAGGCACCACTTGGGAGACTCCTGTTTGCCTCACATGTTCTGTGCCCCCAGGTAATTATCATTTATTTAACCAGTAAACTGTGGTTAAACAAAGTATAGCCTAGTCTAATGTGTGAACCCAGTCTGAAAAACTGCACTCACTGCTATCCAATAATGGACTTTTTTTGTTGAATCACAAACTTGGTGGGGGTTTTTTTCCTAGGACATCTTAATTCTACTTTGCAAATTCCATTTTGAATGATTATATGGCTGGTGGGGTGGAAACAGTTAGGGTTAAGGTTGAGGGATTTACGAGCACTCTATTTCCGCCTGATAGTTTACAGTTCAGTCCTATGCACAGTTAGTAAGTGTAGGTCCCAATGAAATCAGTGGGACTTAGTTCTAACAGATTGCAGCTTTAATCAAGAATTATAACCAGGGTTCCAAAAATGTTTTTCAAAATATAAAAGAATGATATAATTGTAATTATATAAAAGTCTTGCCCTTTGTTTTAGATGTTGGATCCATCATCCCTTTCCACTAAATTGTTTCATTTAGTGTGCAGAATGGAGGAAGGTCAGCTGGTGACCTATTTTCCATCTCTTTTCTGCTGCTGCTATGTGCATAAAGATGGCCCAACCAAAGCCATTCCCTTTGGGTCTGTCCGTATTAATGACTCACAGTGTTATAACGTTCTGTGTCCTTTTGATATAGCTATATAGATAATGCAATTTTTTGCCTGTTGTTAATATCTTTCTCTTTTTCTCTGCTTTTGCCCGCCTTCTGCCAATTATCCGTTAATTAATAAATAAGCATCAAGCTATGTTTTCACTAGCTGAACTGAGTGGCATATGTGTTGCTCTTATCTGGATGTAGAGAATGACCAGGAGTGTTGGGTGCAAACTAAACTGCAAATTACACCCCATAATTTTCCAGCATTAACTAGTTGATTATATACAGTAGATCAGCTCTGGTTTGAACGTTTGTACATTCAGCTTAAACATAGCTATTTGTAAGTGTAAAAATGTTACTGTAAATTCTAATGTTATAAACCTCATTAGCTTGGAGATTGCTGCAGAACATTAGAAAACCAGAAGGAACTCAGAAATCGCAGTTGACACTTAAGATTCATAGCATCTAACCCAGTGTTTTTTCAAACTTGGGTTCTGGGTTCTGGCTGGGGAGTTCTGGGAGTTGAAGTCCACACATCTTAAAGTTGCCAAGCGTGAAAAATGCTGATCTAGCCAACACCCTGTAAGTTGCAGTGAAAAGCTAGTCCAATTGATATGATGAATGAAAGTGTTCAGGACTAATATTCCAATCAATCTAACTAGAACTGTCTATTTACCAATCTAATTTAATTGTGTAGACCCTCAACTAGGAAATAAGGAGTGCTTAAGGGCTAGGAAAAGAAGAAGAAAAGTCTGCGCTTGAAATGTTATTACTCAGAGCTAAGCAAATTAATTAGAAAGATGAATAAGCCACATCAGGATGAGGCAGAATGTTCATTTTGGACAGCCGTTATATGAATGCTCAGACTAAACACCACCTGTCTCTTCTATGAAGTTAAATAATGTACAAAGCTCCACCTTCTTTGAGGCTCCATCTTCTGTCCAGTATACTCCACATATTTTTTAAAAAGTAAGGAGAGGCTGTACCAATGTTGCCACCAATAGGCTATAAACTAACACAACACGCTAAGCCGGCTTACTGAGTTAACCCATGTCTGTGTTTGTATCATTCAGTGCACTATAAACTACCTGTCTGGCAAGCATAGCCTTAAAATCAAATATTGTCCAGCTTTTTGAGTGTGTTGGTTTTTGTCTTCTTGTTTTAAATTTTGGACTGTTTTCACAACAGTAGTCATTCAAACTTTTGTGCATTGTGATCTTGAAAATTGTCTGCTTCTTTCTTCCTCTTGTCCATCGACAGGCTCAACAGCCTAGATTTACATTATTTAATTTATTTCTTGATCCCAGCAATCAGCTTTAATCCAGCCCCTTCAAATCTATGATCATTGGAGTCTGGAGATCACATGACTCATCACAAGTTTTTATGGTGAAATTTGGAGAGCGTGTTGTTATCGATTCTATATTAACACTTAGCATATGTTCTTGAAAACAAAGATTTGTTGGGAAAATGTTGTTTGGAATTTGTTGGAAAAATCAGTGTTTCTGACGCTGGAAAAAGTAATTTAATATACCTGTAGACCTCAGTATTAGAGTTACCAAATATCTGAACAGGCAAAGGAGGGCAAGGACAATTGGAGAGTTTTTGCTTGTTTTTCACTGTAATTTTTGTCCCGGATACCAAGAAATTTAAACAGTTAGTGTCCTTTACCCCTCATTTGTCCTCCTTCCAATTGTCCTTGACCTTCTTTGCCTGTTCAGATATCTTGTAACTTGTAACATGCTATGTATTCAGAGTGAACAGGAATCAGACTTAGCATGTTGCATGAATACATCTCGCAGAATCATAGAATTGTAGAGTTGAAAGGAACCACAAGGATCATCTAGTCCCAACCTCCAAACTGTGCAGGGAAGCTGATTGAACCATCCATGAATGGTGGTTGTCCCACCTCTTCTTAAAAACCTCCAGAAATGGAGAACCCACAGCATCTATAGGTAGAGTTTTCCACCATTGTACCAATCTTACGGTCAGGAAACTTTTCCTTATGTTTAAACAAAATCGAGGCAGCTGAAACTTATACATGACATTATTCCTGGTTCTACTTTCTGTGGCCATTAAATATAGTTGTTGGCCTCATGTCTCCCCTAAATTTTCTTTTCTTCAGATCGAACATCCCAGATTCTTCCACCCTGTCCTTACAGGGCATATCCTCAAGTCCCTGCATTATTTTCCTTGCCCTCCTCTCTAATCTGCTAGATCTTTCCTGAGCTAGTTGATGTTTGTGTGAACACTAATTTAGAGTCCCTTCTAATCTGCCCCACAGTGCTGACCAGGGGGGAGCAGGGGGCATGGCTTTGGGACCACAGCAGGTATGCGTATATATGTATGGGGGGGGGAGAGGGTCACATGCATGAAAAAGAAAGATTTTGGTGGTGGAGAGAAGCTGATCAGATCATCAAAGGAGAAAACTTCTAATGGGCTTTCTAAAGGGCTTGTTTTAGGGGTGGGGGAGTACGGATAGAAGCAGAAGATTTGCTTGGAAAGATGAAATCCATGCTTTGGGAAGCATCTCATCTGAATGCTTTCCAGACTTCTAAGAGATAGCAGTATATCTTTCATGAGTTTGATTATTCTGAAACATAAATTAAAGTCTAATAGTGATGCAGCTGTCATCTGATTCAAGGCAATCGATTAGATTGCCAATTGGTGTTGAACTGGAGAGTGCCTTTTCTGACTGCCTTTTCTACAACTTTAGCAAATTAAAACTATTGGCACAGCTGTCAAAACCAAAAATCTAATTAAAACAAAGCTTAGATTGAATTTAACTTTTTTTTTTCTTACCAGCAGCTGACTTTTATTAGCGTTCTTTGTATGTATGGCTTGCTTTGGTTAAATGAATTGGAATGCTGCTTTGAGGCACTCTGACTACTTCATGGAACTCTACATAGTTTTGTTTTTAATCATAAGCCCCGAATCTTTATCTAGTCTCCTGGAGTAGGCTGGGATCATTGGCTACTATTTCGCTCAAAGAATGCCAAGGCATGCAAATAAAATGTAATCAGCTCCCCAATACTCTTTGTTTCTACCCTGAAAAATCTGTCAGTTTAAGCTGTAGCTTGCATACATAGTGCTGGAAGAGCTCCAGGCCATTTCATAAAGATGAGTTCACTCAAAATGTTGGCTAGGTAATTATGTTCCTGTTCTAATTATTTTTTCAGAGATCAGTTTACATGGGTGGGAGTGATGAGTAGATGACGTTTACAATGGAAGTTAGTTCCTTTTCACAGTGATAATCATTACCTAGTTTCCTCGTTTTTTTCTCTTATCATTTAAGAAAAGTGGACCCTATTACTGTGGGGTGGTGCAATCCATAAGCAACTTGTTAGTTTTCCCCCATCTCAGATCTCTCCCTTGACTTGGTATTTTCCTTTTGGTTCTCATGTTTCCTTTTCTATAAGTTTCTTACCAAGGCAAGTCTGTCCATCTGGTCCCAAAATTGTCCCTAGAGAACAAATGCATTCTCCAGTGTCCAAACAGGAACCCCGACAATCAACCACATCACAGATGTCATAGAAATCTGCAGAATAACAAAGGAAGGTCATTAGAAAAGCAGATTAACTGATTGGGCATACTTAGATAAATTAGTTGGGCTTAAGCTAAGGGCTAAAGGAGAAGCAGAATGTGTATATATAAATCAGATCATCGCCAACTTTTTATCAAGCAGAAAGAGTGAGGAATGGTTGTGAACACTTCCCCTGCCCTTTCCCAAAATTGCTTATCCTGATACCATTTTCTTCCAGTGGGTTCAAGGACTGAAGGCAACTTTAATCAGGAGGAAAAGAGCTAGAGCAAGAGACCTGTTTGAGGAAAATGCATTTGAAATGTTGAGAAAATGACCAAGTTGGCCAGGGCTAGTCTATTCATAAAATGACTGCCACAAGGGATAAAAGCAGTCACAAAGCCCCAGTTTTTCTGCATCCTTGTAGACCAATGTTTTTCAAACTTGGCAACTTTAAGCTGTGTGGACTTCAACTCTGGCTGGGGAATTCTGGGAGTTGAAGTCCATACAGCTTAAAATTGTCAAGTTGAAAAACACTGTTCCAAGACCTTCTCTCTGCCTATCTTCATCTTTTCTTCTGAGCAGGAGGGCACTTTTTTTCAAATAAAACACTTAGCTGCAGTTACCCACCATTTTTATTTTTAAAGAATGCTTCCAAAGCAAATTCAGGGACCAAAAGCATTCAGGAAAATAAAAACTAAGGCAGAAGTTGGTGCTTTGGTTCAGAACATGCCAACTTCAACCATGTTTTAAATTAAACAAATGTTTTTAATGCAAAAAGTTGGGTGGGAAAGAAAATCAACTGGGTGCTAAGGCAGTTGGCTGTGGGTACACTGGTGCCCCAGTCATCACAGTGGAGACCTCAGAACTAGAGAAAATAGGATTTTGAAAGAGATGACCTTCTTTAACCCCTTCCCACTTTCATACTACAATTTAAATTTCATTTAAAACCCATTTTATAGGCATTTGACTATTTCTATCATAATGTGTGTGGCTGTAATGTATTCAGTATCCCTAAAATTGCAGTCTTCTACTTATCATAGTGACAAATGTTATGTAGTAGAACAACACAGCAATAATTCTGTATTGCTATACAATTCAAGCTTGTTCTGAGTTATATTGCAAATAATAGTTTTAAAATTCAGCCTATTTTAACTGCCAGTTGGGACGATTCCTTAAATTCAGAATAATGTATGTGATGAAAGATTAAATATATATATAGCAAATAGCATAAAAGAACAAGACGACAAATAATAAAACTAACAGTAGACAAAACTTGAAAGTGGTCGCTCAAAAGCTTAAAAAAGTAGATTGTCTTTCTAAATGCAACCAGGGAAGGAACTTTTCTGATCTCACATACTAATTCATCAAAAAGGACTTCAGTGCATTATCTTATGAATATCTAGAAGAACTGGTTCTAATTTGAAAAGCTGCCCATCAAAATACTCTTCCTTGTAGGAAGGTTGTTGGAAATATTTTTGGATTAGAGGCATATTTGGAATGTTGAGATTTTGTTGTAGATGCACTCACAAAATGGCTACTATGAGAGCATTGCAAATTCATAAAAGGTTTATTGTGAGTAAGCACAGTCAGTCATAAAATACATTTACCAGAAGTGACGCTAGCCATCAGAATGCTCTCTACCAGGCCAGTGGGACTTTTGTGGGACTAAATACATTTCTGAAAACACGTATGAATTTTGTACTTTGATTTGCAGCACACCAGTTTCTATTTACATAGAGGTTCTATTTACATAGAGATTTATAGCTTGTCTTGAATGCAGGAGCTCAAGGAGATATACACAGCACTCCATTATTCCTCACAGCTACAGTATCCTGTTACAGTATCCTGTTAAGTTAGGTTAAGCTGAAAAAGTGACTGATCCAAAGTCACCTTATGAGCTTCCATGGTCTTGAACCTAAGTTTCTCTGGTCTCTGTCTCTCTCATTCTCTCTCTCTCTCTTTAATGAAAATAAACTTTACAAAAAAGCTGATGTGGCAGAGAGGAGACCAAGGGAGATGTGTTAGGGCATATTGGGACATGTGGGCCCCATGTTGTCTCCTGTTACTGTAGAACTGTCAAGGTGTAAATGCTATAATACGGAAAGACTGGACATCCCTGCAGAAGTTTGATGTTATTGATTTGTAACTATTTTAGTATCATCAAGTCTACTTATATGTGCAAACTCAGTTTGATAAGTCTTTGAACAAGAAGGGAGGAAATCAATACTTTATCTTGCAAGAGAAAAAGAAGGAAAGTATTTTTCAAGGTCAGGTAGATACTCGTCTGGAGATATCATAAAGTTAGTATATTTTCTTCCATGATTTGCTGAAATCCAACATAGTTCCTTCTACTAATTAAACGTATATTTGCTTAATTTTTAAATGTATTTGTCACTGTCTTAGAGTAATTTAACTAGGTAACAATAATCTCCCATCGTGGCCTTATGTGTTGCAATGTCAGGTATATTACTGCATCAGCACTGGCCCATGTGCATTGTTTTAGAAAGACAAGAACTTGAATGAAGGGCTGAAATTAATTCATATGGAATGCTAAATTGATCATCAATGCAACAAAAGTTATACAGGGTTTTTCTTAGGCTTTGAGAAGTTGACTTTCCATCATTGGCAGATGACCTGAACCAGTTCTATTAGAGAAATGTGTGAAAAACAGTCATAAATTAGTTCTTCAAAACATGGGTGGCGTCAAAATGGCTACTTCTATTTTTTTTATTTGTATTTATTAAATTTGAACCCAAAATTTCTCCAAGAAGTTTACATTATTTTCCAATCCTTATGAATCTTTGAAGATCATACTTCAGAGATGCCAGTTGGCTCAAATCACAAAATGAAAGTTATGTTTGAGCAGATCCTGGATCAAACAAGATAGCATACTGTAGATTAGTGATGGATATCTCATTGGAGATATTGGATAGAACAAATGTAAAGAAATAAAAACTCAAAGCATTATTGGGGTATGGAGAATCTGTTGTGAATTTTTTGGATCAAGGTCATAAGAATTTACTTGATGAACCGAATGCCCCTTGTAGTCTAGCATTTTCCTCACAGTGATAAAGTCCCTCCGTTAAGGTATCCACAAATGTAGTCACGCATAAATACATGCACAAAGATGTGTTTGCAGATAGCTATCTCATCAGTGCTGCAGCTTAGACAATTTGCAAATAACAACCACAACTTTTAAAACAACATGCAAAACCACTAAAATAAAACAGCGTGCCGACAAATTTGACAGTCCAAACGTTTCCCCCAAAGAAAGAGCATGGCTGTCCTCACAAAAATCACAATGGAATAGACTAGATTGCTCAAAAATAATTCAAAGGAAAGGATGCTACAGCAGAAAAGATCAGATATTTGAATCTGCTCACTCCCAGCTCAGCAAGGAAACCTTGAACTGAGCCTCTTCAGCTGACAAGAATGCACAGAGCAGATTTTCCAGATGAGATACATTACTGAAATGATTTCTCAGTTATAAGCTGAAAGGGTCAATGAGTAATGCAACAGAATGCTATTAACTACATTGCCCAAGAATGCAACTAAAATGGAAATTGAGAGCCTGGTTTCTAAAGGAAATCAGGGTAAGCTTTTTTTTTTTTTTTTTAATTTAGTTTGGGGCAGTTATACATGAAAAGCAACCATTGTAATCTGAGCCAATGACTGAAGGCATTTTTCATATCAACCTCAATGTATTTTTGAGTGCTATTTATGTCTGTGTGCATGTGTGAGAAAGTGGGGGGGAAAAGCAGAGGAGGGCCATTTTAATGCTATATACACTGTCACTGTAGATTTAAAACTTCCATACTGTAACAGATAAGGGATATGCAAAAGTGTATGTATGTACTGTTTGTGAAATGCAGCAAGTAGCTTTCTGAGCACTTGCTTCTATTGTCAAAACACAAGTATTCATAATTTTCTGACCTGAAACACATAATCATGGTAGGTTTTCTTTTTATAGCAACTCTACCATGTGGTTGAATATTCTACCAGGCTGGAGAAGTGAAGGAGCTGCTGAATGGATCTGTGACTGGAATCCAAAGGGTTGGGCAACAAAACCCCAAAGAAAATTCAGGGTAGTGGGGAAACTGTACAGCCAGCAATCAGAGGGACAATAAAATCAAGCAGCCTTTCAGCAGAAGCTAGATGCTAACTGATCACCCTTACAGTTGATTCTGATGAATCACCCCAGTCTGGAATGCAGACTCTAGCATTCTGTCATGAATAGTGTTCAAGGATGCTAAACTTTGCAATGCCAGACAAGGCACTGTGCTTTGTGAACTTCTGCTGGGACATAGCACTGCTATTGGTCTTGGTGGATCTGGTGGATCTGGAGCTGAAAAATGAGACAGTCACAGCGAAGGAATGCGTCTGAAGCTACAGCCTTCTTCAGTGAGTTATCTTCTAGAGTCATTGCTTTAGGAGGATTATCATCTTTGACTCCCTTGCAACATGTTCCCAACAACGTATTTACTATGAACAGGAATAAACTTCATTTTTGAGTTGATCTTGCCAAGAAATTGGTGGGAATCTTCTTTTGCAGAGGTGTATTATTCCAATTTCAGGGAGTCAGGGGTTTGAAGATTGTACAGCTGAAAAATATACTTCTCATAATAAATAAGCAAATTACAGAAGAGTGAGAAGAATTACATCGAGAGAAGAACTAGACTAGATATATTCATGCAAAGAAGTTTGCTCATTTGTTTGAGGGAAACAAAATTATATGAGGAATCATTCATGCATGTGAGTATGTACTTGTACTCTCAAACGAACTAGTCTTGGATAAGTTGTATCATGTGATTCACTAATCATGTCTTTTATTTTCAGAAATATTACAGGCTCCAAGAGAAGAGAGCAAACCCCATTCCATTCTAGCACTGAAGATGTTACCTAGCTGGGTAACAAAATGTTTGCAAGAAAACAACCAAGCTCAGAGAACCCCAAGGACTCCATATTACAGGCTCCCAAAGTGGAATTCCTCTTGTTATACTTTGCCCAAAGAAGAGTTGTGAAAGAAGGAACAATTAAGTTTAGGTCACTTACGTCCACAATAGGCATGGTAGCAGACACTGGGCTTGGCTAAGTGGTAGACATAATAACCTCCCGGGCATGCCTTAATTTCGACAGTCATATTCCAGAGGCAGCAGTTTCCATTGAAAGTTGCACAGGCCTGCCTTTGGACAATGCCCTCTGATTCTTGAGGATGGCTGCCGTTCAGCCAGATTGGGGCATGGGTGCCACAGTGGTTCTCTGGAATGCAGAAGGTAGGCATGGCATCTCCAGCCATCCCTGTGAAGCGGTACCATTCCCCGTCCACGTGACTGTCACACTCGGGCTGGTCAGTAGAATCATTGAACTGGTATTCTGTGTTCCTCCAAGGTTCATTCAGACTGATGTAGGCAGAACAAGGATCGAGAGCTGGAATATAAGAAGAGGAGATCTACTCATTATCAATAGTAGATTATTCATACTGGAACCTTGTAGGAATAATTAGGAAGAGATAAATAAATGTTTGATTGCAGGAATAGAACCAGCCAATTGCTAAATTTTGGGGAGCATTTTACTTTCTACATAACTACACAAGGTTAAGTATTTATCCATAGTCAGACTTCTTGGTAAAGTTGGGGGCATCTCATAGTAACAGGCTGTATTTCCTTTATAAAATGTTTACTAACATAGCATCATAAATTTGGAAGAGGCCATTGAAGCCAATCTTCTGCCCAGTATAGGAATCTGCCTTTGCTTGAATATATCCAGTGATGGAAAGCCCACCACTTCTCTAGGTAATTGGTTTTGATATTGAACTGGTCTTCCTATTAAAAAGTAGTTTCAGCTGGATCTGCTTTTCCATAATATTATTTAGATTGAACTCTGTGTGTTACAGATTTAAGTCATCGTCTTTTTCTATTATTCATTTATGTCTTCCAAAGGCTAAATAAACCTAGTTCCCTCAATCTTTCACTTTAGAATTTCCTAGATAGTCCATGACCCATTGGGTCATTGTTTCAGGGATATTTCCTTACCTAAACAGAGAAACAGAACGACCAAGGGCAAAAAAGCAGTGTGAGCATCTTACGACTTGCTGCCAGCTTCCCCATTCATTTTGCTTGTGGGAAGTTGGCAGGGAGCGTCAGAAATCCATCCTTCCTTCCTTCCTTCCCTCCCTCCCTCCCTCCTTCCTTTCCACATATAATATAGGCTTGCACCATTTGCCTTCCCCTCGTGACCCTCAGTAGACCCCCAGTGAAGCCTCCTCCTTTGCTGACCTGTGGAACTGCCTGCCACTTTGCTGGGGAAACATGGAACAAAGGGAGCCACAGGCCATGAGGTAAATTGCACCCTCACTGCTCATTCTGGCATGTCCCCAAGGATCTCCTCCCTCGAGGGAGGAAGAGGGCTCACCCTCGACCATCAGCACCCCCCAGCCAGCCCTACCTTGCCAGCAGGTATCCAAGTCACTTCCTCGTCCTTCCCTCAATGCCCACCACCGTTAAGAGATTTCAAATTTCTGCCTTGTTTCCAAAGCAGCCAATCACCACTTGCCCATCAGGCCTTGCTTCCAGCCAATTGGGCACAGGAGACAGAGGGAGGCAAGAAAGAGGTCAGGGATACCCATGACAATCACATGACCTGGGCTGACAGTGCAGCAGCATAGCAGTGCTGAAGTGGCCACAAATTCCCCAAATTTCAATCTCATGGGTCCCAGATTTTGGACACATTCTGTAAGTTAGCCCATTTGAGGTACCTTGGTTGCCCTATGACCTATCGTTTCGCCCAGTTGAAGGTTACAGACACAAGAGTTTTAGTAGTATATAGATCTTCTGGTCTGATAATGATTTGTTGCCTTATGGGGAATCTGGCTGTATTACTACATTCAAAATCCATAAGATTTAATTTTAAATTATGGAGCCTACAGGGCTGATTTTTCCTTTACTTAAGACTAGATAATCCTTGAGGACCTTTCCAACTCCACAATTCATGATTCTATGATGGTTTCTTGTAGTTTAATTGAAACTTAGTAGGAGGTCCACAAGAAATTATCTTGACATGGAATCTTGCCTATATACTATAAATTCACCATCCTCAGCAATCTCTCATGCACACTTACCTGGCTGAAGGCTCTGCTAAACCAATTTGGTTCCTTTCTAGAAAATATGCCCAATACTAACTTGATGAAACAATTATTGCAGATTTCAGCTGCTGTAATGGGAGAAAAATGAAATGCCCATATATGGAAGACTTAATAAAAACAGTGTTTCTTCCTCTTTCTGTGCACCTACAGCACCTAACATTCAAATAGTACCTGAAAACCCAAATCCAACTAGGTTCTGAGATTCTAAAATGCTGCTAACCCGTATGACTGGGAGCAATGTTTCTACTCAGCTTAGCTTTGGTGAGCTTATTCAGAAACCTCTGAGATATGAAGATACTGATTTTAAAAATCCACAGTTCTAATTTAATCATCATTAATCATCATTCTAATTTAATAATAATTTCTTTTAAAAAGAGAAAATGGGAAATACATTGGATATCTTTAGTCCAGACTTTCCCAACCTGTTGCAGTATAACTGAAAGTCCCACCAGCATGGCCAATGGCTTTGCAGGCTGGAAAATTGTGGGAATTATATAGTTAGATGGCTCCAGTTTGGGGAAAACTTATTTAACCAATAGGTGAGAGCGAGAGCGTCTCTGAGTAGAAGGAAGACTTCCCTACTCCTGATAAAGAGAGGCAATGCAAGGCTTTGTGGTTAGGATGTCTTTTTAGTTTGCTACGGTAGTAATCAAGGAAAGCTCTCACAGGTCCCTACCTGAGTTGCTTTTAATAGCAAAGCAAGGAGTAGTCTGAATGATGCACAAAGCAAGCTGGATGATTTTTCTTTTGCCACCAAAGGAAAGTTACATTATATGTTGCAATCAATCTTCTATGAGTAAGCAGAAGTAGATTTTTCTCTGATCTGTAGGCCTGGAGGGAATGTGTGTGTGCGTGTGTGTCTTCAAGTCAGTGTTGATCTGGTGACTGCCTGGACAAGTCCCGTTGTTTTTTTGGCAAGATTTCAGAAGTGGGTTGCCATTGCCTGCTTCCTAGGGCTGAGAGAGAGTGACTGGCCCAAGGTCACCCAGCTGGCTTGTGCCTAAGGCAGGACTAGAACTCACGGTCTCCCAGTTTCTAGCCTGGTGCCTTAATCACCACACCAAACAGGCTCTCATATGTAGGATATATGGAGGGGGAATTCCTTGGGGCTGCAAAGCCTATGTGATTTACACCTGAGAGCTAAAGATTCCCAGATCGTGGAGGTAAACAACCTGGAGGCAACATTTCTAAGGAAAGGGTCAGTGTTCTGTGTCATTTGAAGATAATGAGCCATCCTCAAACACTGATCCTTGCCTTGCCTTCCTTTCCAGCTCTCCCTGTCTGCCTTCTTGCAACGCAACTCTCCTAGGAGTTGCTGTCTTTGAACAGTTCTTAGATCTTGATTATCCAACAACCTGTCACCTGCAATGCAAGGCTCTGGATGAGCAAAGGACGTCTCTGTCAACCTCTTCCCAGCAAACAGAATTTCATAAAACTCTCAAGATTTAAAGTGAAAGCTGCAAAAGAGAATATAATAAACATGTTCATTACACTTTTCATCAGGGATGCACTTAATCTTCTCACTGCAGCTTCTGCAGCTAAAATTTGCCATTTATTTTTGCATATATTTAACACCTGATTAAGCACCAGATAACTCCAGCTGGCTGTGAATTAGAGAAGGATTTATATTAATGTTCTTCTGACTAAGGTAAATGAATGGTTTTCCTTCTTCTTTTGCTAAAGAAGCCATTTGCTTTGATTTGGCACATCAAAATAAAGCAAAAAATATTTTCTTCCCTTTTGAAATTTGATTCCCCACTGGGCTGCCTTGGCCTCTGCCTTCATTTGCTTATGATTATAGATAGTAGAGTGGATACAATTCATCATATTCCTTGTTTCTAGTGTTCAGACCATACACATCGCTTCTTAGAGTCAAAATAAAACCTCCCCAAGTTTTGCAGTTGCACAAATAATCTATAGAAGAAAAGAAACGGAATGTACCATCAAAGGAAAGGAATGAAAAATTGGAGAGGAAGACTGGAGTGGCAAAACATGAAAAGGATGATTGCTTGACACACACTGAACCCTGATACATGTTATTGGAAGGTCAACATTTACATCTCGTCACTGAATATACTGCATTATGTAAGTAATTTCTGATTTATCTGGCTTTTTAAAAAGATTGAAATGGAGGGTCAATGGTTCCCAGGGCCAGGAAGTATTGAGCCCAATACATGTACACATGATATGGGAGCACTATGGCACTTTGCTTGTGTGTCATGGTTTTAACTCTATGGGCTTTTGTTTTTCTTTTCTGTTACAATTATATGAGATGGGTGGCTACATAAATCTTACAAATAAATAAATGTGTATATTTGTCAATGGCTATGTTCACAGGACTCTTAACCATGATTTACTCAATCTAAACCAATTTTCTGGGTTTGCAACCAACCATATGAGCTAAGTTCAGGTAACCTACTAGCGGAAGAGTAAGTCAGATTTTCTGGGCCCCAAGGCAAATCTCAGATGGAGCCTCTGTGTTAATTTTAAGCATCATCTTATGAGCTAATGGCTAATTTCAAGGGAGCAGATGCATTGGTACCCAGGATTTGCACGCAAAATGTTCTTGAGGAAGAACTGCAGCAATGGTAATTCAGGGCACTCTCTTGGGGTTGGATCAGTGCCACCAAGTTGTATTAGTACTAGGTTATCAGATATAGGTTGCAGGTATCCAGATGACCATGAGGTGGCAGCAAAGGGAGCGGGGTTATATCTCTTTGCTGCCATCTAGTGGTCAGTCTAGTCAGTATGCACTGAGTCTGGCCACTGTGCTCACTCACAGCCCCTCCTGCCTGTCACTCTGTCTAACCCATTCTGCCCCTCTAGGCAACTTGGCTTCTCTATGGATATATACCAGCCCTGCAGCAGATCACAAACAGTCCTGTTTGGTTTAAAGGCTATACATACACGGCTAAGGCTACAAGAATTCAAGTAGCCATTTGTTGAAGATAGACATCCAGATTCTGCAGCCCAGATTGATAGCTTCATACCAGGCTAAAATGTGATTGGCTGGTCTGTAGTTTGTTACAGCCATTAGCCCTTTTTTACCATTACATGTTTTAAAAATGAAATTTCCTTCTCTGTGTAATGGTTGCATAGAACTTAGAATAACGAATGATTTCACCCAGTTGTGGTTTTTTTTTTCTTTTTCAAAAATCTCTGAATGGACTGATCTTTGGATTTTCCTTGAACATGGATTGTTGCTGCTGGAATTTATCAATAGTAATCTCCCTTTTAATTATCTTAATTTTAATTATTATATTTTGGACATATTATGTGAAGAACTAGCTCCCTTGAGAAGTCTATAATGCAGGGAAAGGTGGAAGGAAAGAGAAGAAGACGACGACCAGCAACAAGGTCGATGGACTCAGTTACAGTGCACCGTTGAAAGACCTGAAGGGCCAGGCTGGGAACCAATCATCCTGGTGGAGATCCACCAATATGGTCACTAAGAGTCAATGCTGACCTGATGGCACATAACCAATCAATCAATTTCCCTTTTGAATTCATGCCCCTGATTTCAAAATTACAGTAAGCGTGTGGATGTTCCCATGTTTTATCATACCTTTGTGGACATCTTCATTGAATTCTAATTTAGAACTGCCCATCAAATAAATATGGAAACACATCAGTGCTCAATATTTGCTTGCCCTCCCAAATATAATCACAAATCTGTCATGAACCTTATGCTGGGGGGGGGGGGGGGGC